CATGAACTGCACAACCACATCCCAAATCACATTTCTTTATATGAAGACATTCAATTTGACAAAAGAAAGTTTCAAGTCAGGAATAAAGTAGTTATTGTTTTTACTTTCCCCGCCTGAGGGGAATATTCAAACAAACTCCTTTTGGTGATTTAATTTACTTCCACCAGGACAATGGTGCTGGCACAGCTTTGACTTACTGGGAGAAGAAAAAAGGAGACTTGCTGCTCATAGCCTGCACAGAGGAAAAGGCTGCTCTTTGGATTCCCACTCTGGCAGCCCAAAAATGTCAGCTGGCCAACTGCAAAGGCTGTGCTCTCCACTTCCTCCCGTGAAAGCAAGATTTTATTTTCTTTAATGTTCCCAGAGTTACATGCCTTGAGCCTCTTTGCCATTCCCATCCACAGGGCTCTGAACAGCCACGAATTTACCTTCACGAAAACGCTGCTGCTTCCCAAGGCAAATGGGGAAGGGAGGCAGAGGGAGATTAAGTGCCTTGCTCAGCACCACACAGGAAATCTGTGGCCAAGCTCCGCACCGAGCTCCAGCCCCGCGCTCCAATCACAGCCGGGGCCCCGCTCCCAGCAGACGTGGGGAAGAGAAAATCCTTACGAGAAGAAAATAACGAGACATGGGTTTCGACACACTCCCAGATTACCACACTAAATAAATTTTGAGCTACCCAACTGCTGCTTCCCACCGTGTCCCCCATGGCACAAAACTGGCTCAATATTAAATACCAGCTGCCAGGGAGGCTGGGATGAGCAGCCAGATCTTCCTGCCTTCCTGCCCCAGTGCTCTTCACCTGGAACCGATGGTCCTGATGCCCAACCATCAAACTACAGCCAGCCCATGATGTAATTACCATGTCTGATTGAGAGATCCTTACACAGATATTCATTCTTCCTGAACAGAGGACAGGAAAGTGTCCAGGTCACCAATATTAGTGTTGCTATTGATCAGTCAGTTAACTCTGCTGCACTGATCGATACATTAGCCATGAAAGAGAAACAAAACATCATGACATTTGGGACACCTTTGAGCCTTTGCAACAATCCTAAGTGAACATTGCTCTAATGACAACATAATGTTTTATCTTCTACTTGAAGTCACTGTATTCTTTTATGGATTCCTTAAATTACAAGTGCAGAAAGTCCCAAAGCCACCCAGCTACCAACTGGCCAGGTTTCATGGCTGGGGCTTCCCTGAACTGCCTGACTACACTGAGCTGGAAGTGCGTGCAGGGTACTCGTCTGTGGCACTGCTTCCCTCTTCCCCTTTCTTTGCCACTGCTAAGCACAACCACCTTCCTTATCAAAATTTGTCACCTACAAACCCCCCTCTGGCTCCTTTCTCACCTCACAGCAACCACCTGCTTCATCATTGCCTTCCTCAGTCCTCCCCGATGCTTCTGACATTGCACTTTCTTACCCCTCGCACCTGGGAGGATTCTCACCTACACCTGCCTTCCAAATCTGCCACCACGAGCAGCAAACCTTCCCAGGCCAGGTTTCCAAGGAGGAATTGAGGACTCTGAACCACTGTGAAGTGAGGTGCTTGGAGAGGATTATTTGGATCCTCCTGTTACACCAACTCCAGCTTCTCTGTTAAACTATTTTGCTATCAGTTCTCAACACGGCCATTGGACTGTGTATGTGAGATCCTCCCCTCTCCTGCTCCAGCTAGGAAGTGATGCATAAAGTTGAATTTTCCCCAGTTCCACAATGGCCCCAGAAGCCAGCCAGCTTTTAACACCTCAGCTGAGACCCCGCTGAAAGAGCCAGAACCAATGAAACCAGAACTAAACTTGCAGCTTTTTTGTTAAAGTTCCATGTTTAGTCCATTTCTTCACAGCCTTTCCAGTTCCATCCGCAACCTTTGCCCACAAGCTACCCAGACCAGGGTGTCTCTCATACCCAGGACAATGAGACTGCAGCTTTCACCAGTGCTTGTGGGTGATATAAGAGTGAGCAAGATGTGTGTAAGCCTTGGAGATGATGAACCCTTTGGAACTTCCCCAGTGAGCAGCAGCAAACAAAGGATACAGAGAAACACAAGGATAAAATGGGACATGTGTTCTGTGAAGGTCCCTGCCCTGTGGATTGTGTTCCTCCTTGACCCAGTAGACCCCGAGCATATTTGGCAAGGACATGCACCCACAGAATCACTTTATTTTTCCATCCTTGTGTTGGCAATTCCACCACTGCTGTGCTGCCCTGATGACAGCACAGATAGGAAGAGACCACAGATTTAACAAAAAGTTTTCTCTTACTTTGCCTAAAACTGTTCCAAGGGACAAGGCCAGAGTATCTCTGGCTCTTGCATCACCAGCTGGGGTAAAGGTTTTAGTGGAAACAAGAGGAGAAGCTGAGATATGACAGGAGATTAGCATATTTGAGATCCACAGGCCACAAAGTCATTTTAACCTGTCATGCAACTCGTTGTTATGTTGAGGTTTTTAGTACTTCTGCACAGGGTGCATTATTTGCCATTTTACTTCATTGCAATTTGCATCAGGCGAGGACTGACATCATTCTGGATAAGCTGGGAGATCACTTCTGGTAATCATCAGAGGATTGAGAACTTTTGGATATATTCACATAAATAACCCCAACACTCTGCTAACATAAATACCTTTACAACAGATGAGGAAAAAATTCTGTCTTTAAAAAAATCGCAGGATATTCAACCACTGTTCCCTTGCCATTCACCCAGTGAGGCTCACAGACATCCTAAGTGGTATTTACACTGCTATTTTCAGTACTGCAAAACTTCAGTGGTGCCTAATCACAGGAAACACAATGCAAGTAGTAAATCATAACAAACGAGGTCCTCTGTCTTGATTTAAATGTGCTTAAATCTCCCAATAGCCAGGGAGATGAGAAAACAACAGCCAGGCTGGCTGCAGCTATTTGAAACAGGTAAGTCAGCACCCCAGTCCCAGCCAAGCAAAGAACTCGGCATTGCTCAACGATTCCAGGGCTAAACCTCTCCCAGAGCAATTTATTTGTTGATTAAATACAGCAATTTTTGTCACATCACCCAGGTTTCCTGCTTGTAAAAACAGAAGATGTGTTTGAGCAAGCAGGAGATTTCTTCAATACAGTTAAAAAATGGGGAGTAATAAAAAATAAATCTACCAAGTTGCTCAATAAGCTGAAACTTCAGTCTATTCCAGGAAATGTTCTCAGCTCAGAGAGAAGGCCAGTGTATGCTCAAAGTAAAAAAGCATTTTGTTGCAGCATTCAGCCTTTAAAATTAAACCCAACAGCTTCTCTCTGTTATTTAAATGATCTCCTCCAGCTCAGAAGGGCTATGACCATGGCCTAAGTTACTTAACTCACATTTTTATTGACTGACTTGCATAAAAATAAGCCACATTAAGGACTGAGCTGACATTTGGTATACATCACCACAAAACTCATTTCAGATCAAACATCATTCATACAACCTAAAAATATTTCCAGCCTTCTCCCATCCAAGAAAAGGATTTTCAGATTTACATTATCCTCACAAACTTTGGTCTTCTGAAGCACAAGCAGTGCAGAATCAAAGGATTAAAAGAACACCAGGATTTTTATTTTTTGATGATCTGCCTCTGAGTGTGTTATGTGCCAGGAGCAAGTTAACCTGTAACTGCAGTTCCACCAGCACCGTTTTCTCATTATTTGCCAATGTTTTATGCACCCACACACAGAAGATCCCTATCCAGGGTTCAATTCCGGTCACCCAGAGCAGCACTGTGGCTTCTCCAGCCCAAGTGACCTCCAAGCATCCACTTGTTGCCTTTGAAAGACTGGATTGGACCTTATTTTTTAATAATTCACACAGCAGTCTCAATGCAAACAGGAACTGTGTGTCTTCTCATTAAAGAAGCAGACTCGGCATCGACCGGAGCAGTTTCCAAAAGACTTAATCCAGATCTTTCAGGGTCCAACATAAATTGGTTTATCCATCCATGAACCCTCCAGAGGCCTCGCACGGAGGCAGGACAGACACAGCTCTGGCTGTCACCTCCTGCACGGGGCAGGAACTTCCAAAGTTGAATGCCGTGGCATGTGAGAACAAGTTGAGAGGAAGGAGGGAAAATTAAAAAAAAACACGCAAAAAAAACCCCAAACCAGCTAAAAGCAACTAAATGGGTATTTTCTCATTAGCAACTGAGTTATCCTCCTCGGCACACAGGAGATTGGGGGGATTGTTAATTAAAGTGAAGTAAGGCGAATTATGAAAGGCTTTGCTGAAAGCCAGTCTGTGGGAGAGGTGGCCCTGGGAATCTTTCTGGGAAAGGTGGAGAGGAGACCCCGTGAAGGGGTAGGGTGGTCTGCAAGGGTGGAACGGGGGGCGCAGGGATACCCCCATGGGAGAAGGAACAGGGGAAACCCTGGGAAAGGGCTGGCAAGAGGAAAAGGTGTCCCAGGGATGCCCACAGACAGGGAAGGTGCAGAAGAGACCCCAGGAAGGGGCTGGGAAGGGGGCAGGGTGTCACAGGGACCCCCCCCATACACTGGGAGGGTGCAGAAGAGACCCCACAAATGGGCAGAATGCAGGGGAGAGTTATCAACAGGGACCCCCCCATCGGTAAGAGTGAAGAAGGGACCTCATTTAGGGTCAGGGTGCTGTAGGGGGTGGTGAGTGTCATCTTCCATGGGAGAAGGAGCAGGAAAGACCCCAGGAAGGAGAAGCGTGCCCTGAGCTGCTGGAAAACGAGGGGGAGACAGTGACAAACCCCCGCCCTCCTCAAATTTATGTCACCCCAAGGGGGCTCAAGCATCCCACGCCGGAGGGGCGGGAAAAATATAAATAAACAAAAGAGCAAAAAGGCTCCGTCGGGCCACAGAGGTAGAAGCGGAACAGAAAAACGGCGGATAAAAGTTAAACAACGCTGGGAGCTCGGGCCCGGCCGCCCCTCCCCTCACTGCCAGGCCGGGGAGGGGAGGGGACCCCGGGCCCAGCCGTGGATGTGCGGCCACACACACACGGTGCCGCCGCCGCCCCGTTACCTGTGAGGCGGATCTTGATGCTGGATCCGTTCCGGCGGGTACCGGGATTCGACATCGCGCCTGGAGGAGGAGGATGAGAAGGAGAAGGAGGAGGC